GCCACGAATCAGATCTACGAGAAGGAGGTGAGGGCTTTCCTCCTGGACGTGAAGCGGCACGGTCTCCCCTTCTCCACTTACGAGGAGAGGGACGCGGCGCTCGGCGGGTACATATCGGACATGTGCTACGTGATGCAGCTGCCCTTCAGTAGGGCGTCTGCGCTGTTCAATGGCTTCATGCACATCTTCGAGGATCACCGCAATCGGCTCCCCGTCGCCGCCAGGGCGCTGAAGTCCTGGTCCAGGATGGGCTTCCAGAAGGAGGGGGCGCCGGTGCCGTTCGAGGCCGTGGGGTGCGTGCTCTATGACCTCTTCGAGCACGGCCAGCTGTACGAGGGGGCCGCGGTGTTGCTGCAGCTGGACGGCTGGCTGAGGGAGCAGGACTGGGGCCTGCTCAGGAAGACGGACGTGGCGGTCGGGCCCGACGGCGAGGTCGGGCTCACCTTGGGCCGCAGGGAGAGGGGCGAAAAGGTGAAGACGGGAGCGAACCAGGGCGTCGTGGTCTCGTGGCAGGTGACGAAGGCCATCCTGAGGGCGATCGGCAAGGGCGCGGCGCCGCGGGACCTCCTCTTCCCGCTCTCGCAGGATAAGTACAGGAAGGCGTGGCGGCTGGCGTTCGACAGGGCGGGCCTGGCGGACTTCGGGCCTCCGCACTCGCTGAGGCACGCGGGCGCGGCGGCCTACATCGCCGCGGGCGGCTCGCTCGAGGCGGCGCGCCAGAAGGGCCGCTGGCAGACCACGTCGGCCCTTCAGCGCCACACGAAGGTGCACGTGCTGATCGAGCAGCGGAGCCGGCTCACCCCCGAGCAGCTCGAGCGGGGGCGGGCCTTCTGGCGCAGGCCGGCTCAGAAGATCGCGGAGGCCATTCACCGCTCCGACGCCGTGCTGGCGCCGCTCGCGCAGGACATGGTGCTGGAGCTCGAGGCAGCCAAGAACGACGAGGTCGTGCTGCCACAGCTGGAGAGCATGGCGGACGGGGGCGCGGAGCCGACCAGCCGCCCGTCTACGGCTGGCCGCAGCAGGTCGAGAAGGCAGTGATCAGGCCCAGCGTGTGGCTGGAGCTCCACCCTCTATTTAGGCTCCCGCCTGCCGCTGGAGCTATATCTTTTGATATGAATGCAGGAGCCTCGAGAGTTAGGGCGCGAGCACCCTCGTCCTCCACACGTCTTCCTTGAACAGTTAATAAGTCTGGGGAAAATATAAAGCAGGTTTTTGGTGGGTAAGAGCGACACAAATTATCTCCCGTTCCCCCCCTCCCGAATGTGTGCCGCGCTCGTGTCTAGCAGAGGCTGGAAGCGTGAAGGCACAAGTGCCAGTCTGTTGAAGATGGGACTGGGGGTTTCGCAGCGTGGCTTCGTGGCCCGTCCGTGGGCCGAGGCACGGTCAGGAACCTCTCGGCCTTTTAAGTTTCGGGCCTCGCATGGGGCCCCGCCGCAGCGAACAGATACTTTCGGAGGGTGCCCCCTCCTCTCGAGCCGCTCGCTGTCCTGTGGGTGTGTCTCCTCCCGCTGCTGCGTCGGATATTCTGTGGGGCCTCTTTTCACTAGGGTTGTCGCTCTACCCCCGCCTGCCCCCAGCACCTTAAAATCAAGATTTTAAAGGTACAGGCACGCTCCGAGTTAACATAGGTTCAAGCCTGGCTCTCGAGTGTGGGTGTTGTGTAAATACGCGTTTTTTTAACACACTTTTACACGCCCCCTTTAAACGTTCAGATAGCCGCCTCAACTGTACTTTAGGAGTAGGGCTAGCTCGTTCTCTCTCGTGCTTGCCCCTCCGCTCCTTGCGCTAAGTTTCGGCTCCCAACCCTGCCCCCCCTGGGCTTGCATGGGCCCTGGGGGTTTCGCAGCGTGGCTTCGTGGCCCGTCCGTGGGCCGAGGCACGGTCAGGAACCTCTCGGCCTTTTTAAGTTTCGGGCCTCGCATGGGGCCCCGCCGCAGCGAACAGATACTTTCGGAGGGTGCCCCCTCCTCTCGAGCCGCTCGCTGTCCTGTGGGTGTGTCTCCTCCCGCTGCTGCGTCGGATATTCTGTGGGGCCTCTTTTCACTAGGGTTGTCGCTCTATCCCCGCCTGCCCCCAGCACCTTAAAATCAAGATTTTAAAGGTACAGGCACGCTCCGAGTTAACATAGGTTCAAGCCTGGCTCTCGAGTGTCGGTGTTGTGTAAAATGCTATAGGGCACTCTCCAGGGTCTGGGCACATTCCTCAGCCAACGCCTCCTCCGTGACCTTGCTGGCGGCGCCTGCGGCCATGGACGGGCCGCTGTTGCCGCGCCTGCTGGCGCAACGGACTCTGCGGGGCCTCTGCGCCGAAGCGGCCCAGAAACGTCCCAGTCTGGGAAGGTTCTGCACCGATGGCCGAAGTCGGACCCCGTCACGGAATCGACGCTGCCCTGATCGCTGCATGTCCGCGCTGGCCTCCAGCTTGTAGGCGCCGTTCTCGGCCCAGAGCAGGGCGCCCCCCCCCCCCCCCCTCCGCCTCTCGACGGGGCGCAGTCGCCCACCACCTGTGCAGGTGCTGCCTGGGCTCGCTGCACTGCAACATCCAGAGGCTCCGCGCCCTCTGCCGCGCACTGCGCTTGCCGAAAGCAGCGGGGCTTCGGCGGGGCGTCACCGGAAGCCAAGCGGCCTCGAAAACTGGCGGCTTCTCGATTTTCTGACTCGCCGTGGATCTCTGCGCCCCCTTTGCCATCGGTCACCTCGCCTGTCGCTAGCCCTATGCTCGCCACCATCGAACGGCGGCACATGCGCCAAAATCGCAAGTCATCCGCAGCGCGGCACTGACCGCGCTGTAGCCACCCCAGTCGTCGTAAGCAGAGTTCGGCGCTAGGCTGGATGGGCCTTCCCTGGCATGGGGTCCTCTCCTATCTCCTTCATGTCGCTGGGTTTGCTTCTTATTTCTAAAGCGGTTAACCCTGCCCTTGCCCTGCTCCTTTGCCTTGCTGATTCTTGCCGCCTCCTGCAGTCCAGCCGTCTGCCCTGCCCACACGTGTTCGTCCTCGCTGCGGCCCAAAAACCACACGAACGTCTTTTCAGCGTTCGGCCCCTTGCCCTGGCTGCACTTTCTTTCCCATTGTCACCACGTTGTCCTTGCTATTCGCTTCGCCGCATTGGAACGAGTTCGCGTACATTGGACCTCCCCTGCGTAATCCGAAAATTCAGTGAGACCGGCGCGTCACCCGCGGGAACTGCAGAAGTCCTGTCGAAGGCAGGGTAGTCGTGGAGTTTCGCGCGGCCGTGGGCGAGGTGGATCTGCACGTCCGCAAGCGCAGGACTTCCCAAGGCACTCGCCTTGAGTCGGCATGTCGTCTGCAAACTTAGACTCGCGACCATCTGCGATTTTCCGCTCACAGCGTCGGACAAGTTCTTCTCACTCGAGTTTCCCAAGTAATTTGTCCCACTTTCGTCACCTTCGTGGGCGCAGCGATGCTCTTCAATAGCAGGTACTCGGCGTCGTTCACCCCTGGTCGGATCCCACGCCGGACCAGCAGTCGGATGCCCTCCACGCCGAATAGGTCTCATGCGCTCACGACGAGGTCAAAGCATGCTGCGCCCTTTCACGAGCGTCGAGCGCTTTCTCCACAAAAGTGAAGTACCACCATATCCCCGATTAGGATCCTTTGATCCTGGCGATCCTGACCTGCGAGTGGGCTTCTCACCAGATAGTACCAACGGAGTTCATGAATGTAGCGTGGATCAAAAGCTGGTCGTCGCTCGTGTTGATGTGCGTAGTTGCACTGATCGATCCCGCAACGCGCGGGCGCAGGTGGACATGGGACAGGCAGCGCCAGTTCTGGGAAGATACGACGTGCTCTTCTGGGCCTGGATGCGATGCAGATGGTTTGCTCTAATAGCCACATGCATTAACGCGTGTCAATTCCATCAGAATAAGGACTCCGATCTGAAAAAAAAGAGGCTGCGATAAGCGCAGCCTTTCCTGCGCCACAAGTTGAACGGGCAACACAAAGGTCTTCCAGCGACCAACGGCCGCGATGACCTTGGAGCTTCCGATTGCGCTCACGGGCCAGGGCGCCCCACAGGAGGCAAGTCGACGGCCACCCACTTTGCCAACATCGCGCCAAGAGCTGGAACTCTTAGGCATGCCCTCCCGTTCCCGTGCCAGCGCGCAGGTCGGTTTGCTTGATTCCTCAACATCAGCTGTAGCATCCACGTGCTCGCTCTGCTGTGTACGCGCAGCCCTCGGAGATGGTTGAGCGCTCTCAGACTCAGGATCGCCGACTCAACGCGACGTCCCTCCAGCCCGAAATCGAACCAGCAAGGCAGATGTGCCCTGCTCGGTGTTTGAGCAGCCCGCCGACAACTGCTTGTGCCAGTGGACTCATCGTGGGGTCGCGCCTAAACTTCTAATTCTGATGCTTGAGCGGGATCGCTAGGCGCTCGATGGCTGCCCTACGGTCGCTGACTCCTGAAACTCAGCTCTCAGTGAAATGTGTCGCATCGCACAGACCGCGGCAGCATGCCAAGAAGAGCACCCGGCACGAATGCACCCGAGCTGGTTCCCTGGCGAATTGAGCCAACACCCTCGTTGCTGCTGGGAGCGCCGCCGCGGGAGCAACCCCCGCTTCATAGCAAAGTCTCCCGGTAGGAGAGAGCACAACGAGCAACCTAGCTGCAGATGGAAGCGGCGAGAGCGGGGATGGTGCGGCCATCGTTGGCACACGGAGGAGGAGGAGGAGGAGGGGGAGGAGGAGGAGGAGGAGGAGGGGGAGGAGGGGGAGGAGGAGGAGGTGCGTGCGCGCACCACGCACGTGCATACAGTGGAGCGCGCGGGCACGCAGGCTGCCGACCTGGCCTTGCTGCTCACCAGCCCGGCCCTCCCTCCCACCAACCATCCACCATCCCCCTCTCATCCTGCCCCTTTTCCCCTGCCCTGCCTGCATTTCTCTATCACTGCACCCTCTCCCCTTGCCACACAGCCACTCCTGTCCTCTCCTTCCCTCCTTTCTTCTCATTCCCTCCCAGAGTATATGTGAGTTCAGCCACCTGGTTGACCATGGTCGCGAAGAAGGTCTTGCGGCGATTCTGAGAATTAGCCAGCGAAGCTCTCAAAGTGCTTCTGCGACTACCTCAGGTCCAACCAGGCTGGTCTCCCAGTCGATCATTTGCACTAATCCTGCTGCTCCCTGCCATTGTCTGACCCATCATGCTCTTTCCTCCTCCCTCATCCTCCTCTTGCTGGATCAACGCGCAGTGGGACAGAACGGAGTGGAGCGACATGGAATGGGACAGGGTGGATCGGAGTGGCGTGGCTTGGGTAGGTTGGGATGGAAGATGTGCGGAGTGGGGGGGGGGTACGACGTTAAGCGGAGTGAAGTCAAGTGCTGTTGAGTGGAGCGAGGTTCAGCGGAACAGAGTGGAGGTGTGCAGGATAGAGCAGAGACGCGCTGGGTAAAGAGTGGAAAGGAATGAAGTGGAGTGGGGAATATAGGAAAGTTCCGAACGTCGAGAATTATGGCGGACTGGACAAGATGTTGTATAATGAAAAAGCCGGTGTGTCAAATGAGACAGAAATGGAGCAGCAATGCAACGGGTTGCACATTCTAGTGGGGTGGAATTGGAATAATAACCCAACAACATGTCGAATTAATTTTCAGCCCACCCAGTCCATCACATTCCGCTCTATCGCGATACCCCCTGCTTCACTCCATTTCACTCAAGCCCACCACGTTCCACTCTCCCACGCTTTGCTCTGATCCATTCCACTCCATTCAATGTCATACCATTAACTCCACCCCCCCGCTCCGTCCCACGCCACGTGTGTGTGTGTGTGTGCGTGTGTGTGCGTGTGTGTGTGTGTGAGTGTGAGTGTGAGTGTGAGTGTGAGTGTGAGTGTGAGTGTGAGTGTGAGTGTGAGTGTGTGTGTGTGAGTTTGTGTGGGTGCGTGTGTGTGTGTGTGTGCGTGTGTGCGTGTGTGCCCGTCTGTATCGCACACGTGCTTAATTGTTCTTCCTCAACTGCAGATTGCGGTCGTTAGAGTGTAAGAACAGACCTCCTGGCCCGACCACCCTGCTACCGCGGCCGCCAGATCCCCGAGTCGACCGAGAATCCCCCGAGAAGCCCGCCTCCCGCAGACCATGCCATTCTGCATACCGCGGCCGCCAGAACCCCAGGTCCACCGAGTATCCCCCGAGACGCCCGCCTCGCGCCGACGACGAACACGATAGAGCCTGACAGGACTCAGCATAGCATAACATGATAGAGCAGAGCATAACATAACATGGCAGAACAGAGCATAACAGAAAGCAGCATCACTGAACAGAGAATACTGTATCAATCGTACAGCACGGCAGCGCATGGTACGATATAGCGTATCCGACATAACACGTTGTAACACCACACATCATAGCAGAACATAGCATGACAAGTCCGCCGGCCCCCTTGTGGGGCCACCAGGCTGTAGGCCGAAGCTTCGCAGTTTCCTGTACAAGTTGCAGCTTCCAGTTTCCACTGTTACAGTTCTGCTTCTTGCTGCTTACTGTTCCTGGTTGACTTCTTGCTGCTTACTGTTCCTTGTTGATGGACCGCGCGAAGGGGGAGGTCTGAAACGGATATTTTTACCACGCCCTGAACGTGCTGTCTGAATTGCTGGGGTGGGTGAAAATTTACACACCTCACGCAGATCGGCGGGGTCAGGGTCCAAAAAACACAAGGGATTCGCAACATTTCTAAAATTCGGCGGCACCCCTCACGCAGATCGGCGGGGTCAGGAATCCGAAAACACACGGGATTTGCTACATTTCTGAAATTCGCTGGCACCCCTCACGCAGATCGGCGGGGTCAGGGTCCAAAAACACATGGGAGTTGTGACATTTCTGACATTCGGTGGCATCCTCACGCAGATCGGCGGGGTCAGGGTGCAAAAACACATTGAAGTTGCCACATTTCTAAAATTCGGCGGCACCCCTCACGCAGATCGGCGGGGTCAGGGTCCAAACACACATTGGATTTGCCACATTTCTAAAATCCGGCGGCACCCCTCACGCAGATCGGCAGGGTCAGTGTCCAAAAACACAAGGGTTGTGCAACATTTCTAAAATTCGGCGGCACCCCTCAAGCAGATCGGCGGGGTCAGGGTTTGCACATGGGATTTGCTACATTTCTGAAACCCGGCGGCACCCCTCACGCAGATCCGTAGGGTCAGGGTCCAAAAAGACAAGGGATTTGCCACATTTCTGAAATTCGGTGGCACCCGTGACGCAAATCCTTAAGGTCAGGGTCGAAAAAACAAACAGGTCCCGACACTCCTTCACGGCGCGCCCAGACCTCATGATTTAGCTTTTGCATATCCTATTATCCGAGACAGGGGGCCGGCGGCATGGGGCGAAGCCCTTACGGATAATGCCATGACGGAGCGCAGCGTAGCACAACACATCACAAAATAACATTACATCAAATAGCATACCATGGCAGATCAGACCATAGCACATTACAGTACAATATCACATGACAGAGCCTGCGATACCAGAGCGCCGCATAACATGTCTTCCACAGCAGAAAATAGTGCAACGTAACAACGCAACATAGCATAGCAGTATACAGCACGGCATAACAATGCATGATCTGGCACAGCCGGTCATACATAACGTAGCATAGCGCGACCCATCATAACAGAGCACGTATGACCACATACATAGCATGACATAACAATCCACATCATGACATACCAAAACTAGCACAACGCTGCCATGACAGAACGGAGCATAGTATACCCTAACATATAATTCCATAACATCGCATGGCGCAACGTACCACACCATCACATAGTGCAGCATAATATACCTCGACAACGTCTATCATGACAGTTTGTGGTGACGCATGTCTTGACATAGCAGACATAACGTAATATAGCAGAGTATACCATCACATGCCATAGCGGAACGGAGAATGACATAACGCAACGCCAAGCATACTTCAACGTAAGAACGCAACGACTGCAACGACCGCACGGTAACAGCATAGACTGTGTCATATCGCAGAGGAATATCTGGACTGAGCAAAGAATAGCATAACAGACTGACGATAGCACGACGTAGCGTGAACAGCATCACGCAAACAACATTGTATATCAAAACCTGGTAGAACAAGTCATGCCATAACAAGGTGTCACAGAGCAGAGCATGCCATAATATATCGGAACATATTGTGACAGAAATGAGCATACCAGAGCACACTTCAACATGAGAAAAACATGTGCGAATAGGGACATCACAACATAGCACATTGCACTACAATCTAATCAAACGCGACGTGCGCGTCGAGGTCAGGCTGGCCACCAGGGCAAACAGGCGCAGCAACGAACGATCGGACGACATATCGATCGTGAAACGTCACGCCGGCCCGTCGAGAACACGACAGACATAACATACCGCAACATATCAGAGAACGATCGAATCAACAATATATATATATAGCGAAGACAGCACACCGCAACCAGCAAAACATAGCAGAATTGTAATACCCCTTCCCCATACGCCAGCGGTCGATACATAACATGTATGGCTATAACTTCATGGGAGAAGCATGCCGTAGCAGAGCATGTCATAATATACGCTAGCGCACTGAACAGACCCTAAGCAGCATCACAGAGAACATCAGAGGCGAGCATCACAGAGCATACTTCAACAGAGGAGAAACACAAACTTGAAGAGGAACTTCATAACATACTGAGCCATACCAAATTAGACTAAAACGAAACGTGCGCGCCGAGGTCAACCCGGCCACAGGTACAAACAGGCGCAGCAGCGACCGATCGGACGACGTACCTAACGTGACAGGCGTCACGGCGTCATGCCGTCCCGTCGACATAATAAAATATCAGACTGTAGCGTAGCAAAATAGATCCTTATCGGGCAACACATACTTGAACATTGTCAGATACAGCAGCAACGGAGCAAGGGCGCCCTGCCAAACGCAGCATCCGCGCCTGGCCACAACAAAAACAGGCGCGGTAACGACCGATTAGACGACGTATCGAACGCGACAGGCGTCACGACGTCACGCCATCCCGTCGAGAGCAGAAAAGAAACAAATCGATGTGCATGGAACAGAACACATAACCCGAACACAGCGTGAGAGTACGGGCAAGAGGAGGGGCCCGAACGACTCACACCAGGACGAGGGGCCCGAACAACTCACACCACGAGAAGCCCGAACGACTCACACCAGGACGAAGAGCCCGAACGACTCACACCACGAAGAGCCCGAACGACTCACACCAGGAAGAAGGGCCCGAACGACTCACACCAGGACGAGAAACCCCAAACGACTCAAACCACGAGGAGCGCTTTCTCTCCCTCCTCCTCCGCCTCGTCCTTCTCCCGCTCCCACCACAAGGAGGATGTACAAGGAGGCGGGAGGAAGGAGGAACAGGGGAGATATGCGGGGGCAGGCGGAAACACGCCTGAAAAACACGACTGTCGGCATGCTTCGCTAGAGTTGCTGCTTTGAGATGGGCTGGTGGGGATACGCGAAGCGTGAAGAATTCAGCAACGACCGAGTACTGGCGGCCTATCATACGCGACACGCGCGCCAAGCCCAGGCTGACCACAGAAACAAACACTAGCAGCAACGACCCATTCGAAGACATTCCAAACGTGAATGCCGTCACGGCGTCACGCTGGCCCGTCCCGAGGGCATAACAGAACATAGTGTCGTATACTACACTGGGCCAGAAGCGAAGCAAACATACTATAGCACAACATTGCGTTTACGCCAGCCACCACTTCACGGCGCCTCATCAAACACAAGACGTCGGCCCAAAAGTGTCGGCGTCTTTCATCAGGGGCCCTTGGGTTGTTCGACTTTCGGAAAACATCAACTGGCGAAATGGCCCGGCCACCGCGCTGGCCGAGACCGCTGGGCCCCGCGCGCATCGTTCCAGTAGGCACGCGCACCGTTGGGAACAAACGCCGAAGGTTTCGGTGGAGATCGCTCGAAGCACAACATCTGCAGTTTTCCTCTTTTGTCCCTCCTTGATGACGGCCGAGGTGCGATTCCACAACCCCCACTGACGAAAAGGAAACAGCGG